ATGTATGCTGTGTCTATTAGTGATGAGGGTGGCTGTTACCGGTGTTTCCCGCCCGATTCTGGCATTGCGACTGCTGCTCTAGGTACTGGTGAGGCGGCTGCCCTAGGTGCTTGCGACGCTGCTGCTCTAGGTGCTTGCGACGCTGCTGCTCTAGGTGCTAGTGCGTTTGCGTCCTCGGGTACTGGTGAGTCTGCGCTCTCAGGTACTACGTCGACTTCGGCCTCCCTCACCTTCACCCTTGACTCTGGGGCTTCTCGCTCCTTCTTTCGGGACCGCACCACACTTACGCCGCTTAGTCGGCCGGTTGCGGTGTCTCCCGCTGACCCCTCTGGGGGTCCGGTCCTGTCTCACTTCTCCACAGTCCTCCCGTGTGCGGCGGCTCCCTCTGGCACCCTGTCTGGTCTCTACCTCCCCTTGTTCTCTATGAACCTAGTGAGTGGTGCTGACCTACAGGATGGGGGAGTACACCAGTTCACTCCTGCGCGTCAGCGGGTGACGCACTGCACAAAGGCTAGCACAGGCCGACACCTGGCTACGTTTACCCGTCAGCCGGGGACGAGCCTGTACACACTGACCATTGCGTCTCCTCCAGTTGTTGAGTCTGGTAGGGCCGCTGAGTCGGGTCAGGCGTTTGCTGCAGCGTCCAGGTCTGGTCCTGAGTCTGCCCCCTGTTGTGTCGTCTCCTATCTCACGAGACTCTCCTCTGGCACCACCGCCTTGGTCACCCCTCTCTGCTTCGGCTCAGAGGCATGGCCTCCCGTCTTCTTGTTTCTGGTCTCCCTCGGTCCCTCCCTCCCCTTCCTCAGGGCCATGGCCCTACCTGTGTCCCCTGTGTCGAGGGGCGCCAGCGTGCTGCCCCTCACTCCTCCCAGTTTCCTCCGACAGAGGCCCCGTTACAGACGCTTCACATGGACGTGTGGGGCCCAGCCCGCGTCCGTGGACAGGGTCACGAGCGCTACTTCCTGCTCGTTGTTGACGACTACTCGCGTTACACCGCAGTCTTCCCCTTGCGCAGCAAGGGTGATGTCACTGAGGTGCTGATCGACTGGATCCGCGCAGCTCGTCTCCAGCTCAGGCAGAGCTTTGGCTCGAACTATCCTGTTCTGCGTCTGCACTTGGACAGAGGCGGAGAGTTTTCTTCTGGCCTTCTGAGAGCCTACTGTCGCGCACGAGGAATCCGTCAGACCTTCACGCTTCCGGACTCCCCGCGGCAAAATGGGATTGCTGAGCGCCGCATTGGCATGGTCATGGACGTCGCTCGTACGTCTATGATGCATGCGGCTGCTCCCCATTTTCTGTGGCCGTTTGCGGTGAGGTACGCGGCGCATCAGATCAACCTACACCCCAGGGTCTCCACGCCGGAGACCTCCCCAGCCTTGCTGTGGACGGGGAAGGTTGGCGATGCGTCGGCGTTCCGGGTCTGGGGATCTCGGGCGTTTGTCCGCGACTTGTCTACGGACAAGCTGTCCCCTCGTGCTGCTCCTTGCGTCTTCCTGGGGTTCCCCCCTGACGCGCATGGGTGGCAGTTCTACCACCCCACCTCTCGCCGTGTTCTGTCCTCCCAGGACGTCACCTTTGACGAGTCGGTCCCCTACTACCGCCTCTTCCCCTACCGCACTCCGTCCCTTCCCCCGCCGCCGCTCTTCCTTGTACCAGGTCGCCCTCCGGTAGACCCCCTCCCCCCTCAGGGTCCGTCCCCTTCAGGTGTGTCCCAGGTAGACGCAGTCGAGCCTGTCGAGGTCACTGGAGACTCTGGTGCTGCTGAGGGTGCTGAGCCTGAGGGTTCTGACTCTGGAGGTGCTGAGTCTGGGGGTGCTGCGACTGGGGGTGCTGAGCCTGAGGGTGCTGAGCCTGGGGGTGCTGAGCCTGGGTGTGCTGAGACTAGGGGTGCTGAGCCTGGGGGTGCTAAGTCTGGGGGTGCTGCGCCTGGGGGTACTGAGCCTGGGGGTGCTGAGCCTGGGGGTGCTGAGCCTGTGTGTGCTGAGCCTGGGGGTGCTGAGCTTGGAGGTGCTCCGCCTGGAGGTTCTTCGGGTGCTTCGTCTCTACGGGAGCCACTCTCTCCACGGGAGCTGCGCGAGTGGTTTGCCCGGCGCCGAAGGTGTGCTGCTGGTACTGGAGGTTCTTCGGCTACTGAGGGTGCTGCTGTCGCGGGTCCCGGAGGTGCTCGTACTGGGAGTACTGGAGCTGCTGGGCCTGCGGGTTCGACTGGAGCTGGTGCTGCTGAGGGTGTTGGAGCTGAGACTACTGCTGTCAGTCCTGCTGCGGGTACTCCTTGTACTGCTGGAGGTTCTGGCACTGCTGGAGGTGCAGCTGGAGCGGGTGCTCCTACTGGGGGTTCTGGTGCTATACCTGCTGTGTCTGGCGTCGCCGCGCGGCCTCGACCGTACTTCGTTCCACTCATGCAGCACGTTCTTGGTCTTCCGCCTTCTACTGGTCCTCCTCCTTCTTTAGGGTGTCCACAGCCAGTCCCGTCACAGTTACAGTTGCAGCCTACCTCCCCTTTGCCTGCTCCTTCTCCCTACACTGGTCCTACTGGAGGTCTTACTGAGCGTCATGAGCCTGCGTCTCGCCCTGCGTCGCCTGTCCGTGCTGCTCGCGCTAGTGGTCGTGGTTTGCGTCAGCGCACTCCTCCTGTACCTGGCACGCACAGGATGTCTCTGCGTCCGTCCACTGCTCCTCTGCGTGCCCCTTTTTCCTTCTCCTCCTGAGTCCTCTCTTCCTCCTTTTGCCGACCCAGAGTCGGACTCTCTTCGTGCTGCCAGTCCTACTGTCACGCGTCTCCTTGCTACTGTCGTCACTGACCCTTCTTTTGAGTCCACTGCTGCGTCTGCCCTAGTTGCTGAGCTCGTCGACTTTGCTGCTCGCTGTCGTCTAGACTACGCTGCTAGTCTTGTCGCTGAGTCTGAGTCTGTCTGTCCTCCGTCCGTCGGGGGTGAGTGTGCCCTTGGCACGGACGTCCTTGAGGACAGGCAGGAGGAGTTCCAGTGCTTGGCCGCTGCTTCACCTCATCTCGTGTCCGTACTGCTTACCTCTGAGGGAGAACCGGATGCACTTGACATCCCGACTCCGCGCTCTTACGCGGAGGCGATAGAGGGTCCCTACTCTTCTCAGTGGCAGGCAGCTATGGATGCAGAGATGGCTTCCTGGAAGTCCACAGGCACCTACGTTGACGCTGTCCCCCCTCCTGGGGCGAACATCATCAGTGGCATGTGGATCTTCAGGGTGAAGCGGCCGCCGGGTTCTCCGCCTGTCTTCAAGGCGCGTTACGTGGCTCGTGGCTTCAGTCAGCGGCAGGGAGTTGACTACTTTCAGACCTTCTCTCCCACCCCGAAGATGACCACTCTTCGGGTACTGCTGCACGTTGCTGCTCATTGTGACTACGAGCTGCACTCTCTCGACTTCAGCACAGCTTTCTTGCAGGGCAGCCTGCACGAGGAGATCTGGCTGCGCCGCCCACCTGGCTTCACTAGGCCTTTCCCTCCTGGTACCCAGTGGAGTCTCCGGCGTCCAGTCTACGGTCTCCGCCAGGCGCCACGTGAGTGGCACGACACACTGAGGACTACGCTTGCGGCCCTTGGGTTTGCTCCTTCTACTGCCGACCCGTCGCTGTTTCTGCGCACCGACACTTCTCTGCCGCCGTTCTACATCCTCGTGTACGTCGATGACTTGGTCTTTGCCACAGCTGACACTGCTGGACTCGCCTACGTGAAGTCCGAGCTGCAGAAGAGACACACGTGCACAGACCTAGGTGAACTGCGCAGCTACCTTGGCTTGCAGATCACCCGGGACAGAGCACGCCGCACCATTACCCTGACTCAGTCACACATGGTGCAGCAGGTCCTTCAGCGCTTCGGCTTCACGTACTCCTCGCCTCAGGCCACTCCTCTGCCTACTCGCCACTCGCTCTCAGCTCTGCCTTCGGATGAGTCCGTAGAGTCGAGTGGCCCGTATCCAGAGCTTGTTGGCTGCCTCATGTACCTGATGACCTGTACACGACCTGACCTTGCATACCCTCTTAGCATTCTCGCACGCTATGTTGCTCCTGGGAGACACCGACCAGAGCACATGGCTGCAGCGAAGAGGGTGTTGCGCTACTTGTGCAGTACGTTGGGCATGGGGCTAGTGCTTGGAGGGCGGAGTCTAGTAGTCCTCACTGGGCACGCGGACGCTTCTTGGGCTGACGACCAGGCTACGCAGCGGTCGTCACAGGGTTACACCTTCAGCCTTGGTTCCGGCTCTGTTTCGTGGCGGGCTACTCGCTCGTCTTCTGCTCTCGGCTCCAGTTGTGAGGCTGAGATCTACGCCGGGGCCATGGCTGCACAGGAGCTTCGCTGGCTCACCTACCTGCTGACCGACCTTGGAGAGTCGCCTCGTTCTCCTCCAGTCCTGTACGTAGACAACAAGGCCATGCTGGCCTTGTGTCGAGAGCAGAGACTGGAGCACAGAACGAAGCACATTGCTCTTCGCTACTTCCTTGCTCGTGAGCTACAGCAGCGTGGTCAGTTGTGGCTTGCGTACGTGGCCTCTGAGGCCAACACTGCTGATGTCTTCACCAAGGCACTTGCGCCTTGTGATCATCAGCGCTTCTGCACGCAGCTGGGTCTTGTGCCTGTCTTGCCTCACTTGCTCACCTCTTGACCTTGCTTGTACTGTTGCATATATATACACCTGCTCTTGCTTGTCTAGTCCTTTATATATATGTACTCCTGCATGTGAACTGGCCTTGTGGCCTTGAACTTGTGCTCAGAATGTGTGGTGACTTTGTGATCCACCCTGAGCTTGCTTTGCTTTGTTTTGCTTGACTGGTCTTGTGACTCCTTGTTCTCCCCCACTTTGCCTATGGAGGTGTGTCAGAACATATAGCTTGTGCTTATTGTGTAGGCTATAGTGGGGTAGCCCATAAGGGGTACAACCCAATCAGGGTTAGTACTTGTACTCAGTTCATTCATAGTTCATTCATTTCTCGTTTCAATTTTCTCACTCTGCCACTCCCCTCCTCCTCACTCTTCGTCCACGTTCTCCTCCAGCCCACCATCCTCTTCATCCTCCTCCTCCTCCTCCTCGTCCTCCTCCTCCTCCTCCTCCTCCTCCTCCTCCTCCTCCTCCTCCTCCTCCTCCTCCTCCTCCTCCTCCTCCTCCTCCTTAGAATCCTCCTCCTCCTTTGGGAGGTCCTCGGCATCCTCAGCGTCCGCCTCCTTTGCCGCCTCCTCATCATCTGCGGCGATTGCATACAGGGGGTTCACCCACTCCTCCACTTCAGGGGCGACGTGCACGTCCTGTGCCACCTCAACCTCGCCTGCATCGTGCATGTGGGCCAGGACGAGGTGATCCTGCTTCCCGTTGACTGAGTTGCTGATTCCGGTGGTGAGAAAGGCCTTCTCGATGATGTGCTTGGGGACCGCCGCCCAAGCGGCCGCAATCCACTTGAGCACCATTTCGGCAGGGGGCTTCTTCAAGTTCCCTGCGACGCATAGGGGAAATACGGTAAGATGCACAGGGGGAGACGGGAAGTCTTTTACGCAAATGGGTTAGAACAAGCAATCGGCTAAGCGGCCAACTCACCAGCTTTCGTGAACGTGTTGATGCCGATCTCGGCAAACCACTCGTTGTACATCTCACGCAGCAGCGCCTTGAACGAGCGATTGACGCTCACGTCAAGGGGCTGCAGCAGAGGAGTGCAGCCCCCTGGGATGATGGCCGGGATCACCAAGTTCCACTTCAAGTTGGTGAGCACGCCATCGGTGAGGTGGCCCCGGTACGAGTCCACGACCAAAAGGGTCTTGGACCGTCGGATGCCACGCGGGGGCTTGATGAACGGCAGCAGGATGTTGTTCACCTAGTCATCCACAAGCTTCGCGTCCATCCATCCCTTTGGCTGTGCACGGATGATGACTCCTGCACATGAACGTCAATCGTGGTTGGACATCCCCCCAAAAGACGGAAGAAACAGGAGCTTCTAACGGTTACAACTCACCTGCAAGGACTTGAATCTTCGGGATTGTCTTGCGCTTAAAAATGACCATGGCAGGGAGTTTGCGGCCGTCAGCGGTGATGCCGAGCATCACCGTCACCCTCTCCTTCTCATACCCCGCGCTCCTGACATGCACCATCTTCTCACCGTGGTGATGAAGGGTGCAATCGTTCGGCATCTCCAAAAATATCTGCGTTTGGTCGGCGTTTACGATGTTCCACGCGTCGATGCTGTGCTTGATGATGTTCTTCCGTGTGAACTCCCAAAACTGCAAGCACTTCGGCTTGCACTCTGCCACACACGTACACGTTGAGATTCGTGGAGATGAGCCACAGAATTGGGTAAAACATCATTGTCACATGCATTATAGCATGCATAAACTAAGAGGCCGCGATACACACAAACGTCTTACCTCTTGCGAGACGCTGGCCCATCTTCGTCTTCACGCGAATGGAGATTCTTAGGCGCGCGCGGAATCGGTAGGTCCACCTGTTGGACGCCATCCACCTCATATCCGGGTAGTGGGCCTTCATGTAGCACCTGCTCCAATACTTGATGAGGCGGATAGGGACAGCCAAGCCACGGCCGCGGAAGTTAAGCATGCGCTTGTAAACGTGCGCCTCCATGTCGGGGTACTTAGCCATCCTCACGCCGCCACTGAGGCGCCGCCTGGAGCGATCTGCTTTTTTTATCCGATCCGTCGCCCGTATCCACCGGCGGACACTGGCCTGTTGCACCCCCGCCAGACGTGCCGTGTGGCGGACGGAGAGTTTCTCTGCCTCCATGCGCGCGAGCCAGTCTTGTTTCTCACCCATCATATGGGCTTTGCGACTATGTGAATTTGTGCGTGCGCAGGGACTCGATGGTGCACCGTTGGCTCTGGATCGCGGGCCGTTCTCGTCATGCATGAGGTCCTACGGAAACGACGGGATCGGAAAACTACCGACGTCGTGGTTCACTGCGTCGTCGCCCGAGTTGTCGTCATCCTTGGTCACGGGTTCGGGAAACCCCTCGTTCTCGAGAGGGTCTATCGAACGGTTGCTGCGCCAGTCGACCAAGGCCGGGGGAAGCACAGGGGGCGTAGGAGGCGTAGGAGGAGCCAGAGGGGCCGGAGGTGCGGGAGGTGCAGGTGGAGCTGGCGGGGACGGGCTTGTGATGAACACGACCGCCGGCTGGCCAGACAAACTGCCTAAGCTTGAACGGTGCGTACGCCATGGGCTCTCGTGAACGGACATTGAAAGAAACTGCTAGTGTTTTTAATGACAACTGCTTGCTTGAGTGGTAGCTGCCATAGCGTGCTTTGAGAAGAAACGAGAATGAATGAACTATGAATGAATTGGGTACAAGTACTAACCCTAATTGGGTTGTACCCCTTATGAGCTACCCCACTATAGCCTACACAATATGCATGAGCTATAATGTTCTGACACACCCCCATAGGCAAAGTGGGGGAGAACAAGGGGGCACAAGACCAGTCAAGCAAAGCAAAGCAAAGCAAGCTCAGGGTGGATCACAAAGTCACCACACATTCCAAGCACAAGTTCAAGGCCACAGGGCCAGTTCACATGCAGGAGTACATATATATAAAAAGGCTAGACAAGCAAGAGCAGGTATATATATATATATGTAACAGTACAAGCAAGGTCAAGAGGAGAGCAAGTGAGGCAAGGTAGGCACAAGGCCCAGCTGAGTACAGAAGCGCTGATGGTCACAAGGCGCAAGCGCCTTGGTGAAGATATCAGCAGTGTTGGCCTCAGAGGCCACGTACGCAAGACGCAGCTGACCACGCTGCTGCAGCTCACGAGCAAGAAAGTAGCAGAGAGCAATGTGCTTCGTTCAGTGCTCCAGTCGCTGCTCCCGACACAAGGCCAGCATGGCCTTGTTGTCTACGTACAGCACTGGAGGAGAACGAGGCGGCTCTCCGAGGTCACTCAGCAGGTAGGTGAGCCAGCGAAGCTCCTGAGCAGCCATGGCTCCTGCGTAGATCTCAGCCTCACAACTGGAGCCGAGAACAGAAGACGAGCGAGTAGCCCGCCACAAAACAGAGCCGGAACCAAGGCTGAAGGTGTAACCCTGTGACGACCGCTTCGTAGCCTGGTCGTCAGCCCAAGAAGCGTCTGCGTGCCCAGTAAGGACCACTGGACTCTGCCCTCCAAGCACAAGCCCCATGCCCGACGTACTGCACAAGTAGCGCAACACCCTCTTCGCTGCAGCCATGTGCTCCGGTCTGTGTCTCCCAGGAGATACATAGCGTGCGAGAATGCTAAGAGGGTATGCAAGGTCAGGTCGTGTGAAGATCATCAGGTACATGAGGTAGCCAACAAGCTCTGGGTACGGGCCACTCGACTCTACGGACTCATCCGAAGGCAGAGCTGAGAGCGAGTGGCGAGTAGGCAGAGGAGTGGCCTGAGGCGAGGAGTACGTGAAGCCGAAGCGCTGAAGGACCTGCTGCACCATGTGTGACTGAGTCAGGGTAATGGTGCGGCGTGCTCTGTCCCGAGTGATCTGCAAGCCAAGGTAGCTGCGCAGTTCACCCAGGTCTGTGCACGTGTGTCTCTTCTGCAGCTCGGACTTCACGTGGGCGAGTCCAGCAGTGTCAGCTGTGGCAAAGACCAAGTCGTCGACGTACACGAGGATGTAGAGTGGCGGCAAAGAAGTGTCGGTGCGCAGAAACAACGACGGGTCGGCAGTAGAGGGAGCAAACCCAAGAGCCGCAAGTGTAGTCCTCAGCGTGTCGTGCCACTCACGCGGTGCCTGGCGGAGACCGTAGACTGGCCGCCGGAGGCTCCACTGGGTGCCAGGAGGAAAAGACCCAGTGAAACCAGGTGGGCGACGCAGCCAGATCTCCTCGTGCAGGCTGCCCTGCAAGAAAGCAGTGCTGAAGTCAAGAGAGTGTAGCTCGTAGTCACGGTGAGCAGCTATGTGCAGCAGTACCCAAAGAGTGGTCATCTTCGGGGTGGGAGAGAAGGTCTGAAAGTAGTCAACTCCCTGCCGCTGACTGAAGCCACGAGCCACGTAACGCGCCTTGAAGACAGGCGGAGAACCCGGCGGTCGCTTCACCCTGAAAATCCACATGCCACTGACGATGTTCGCCCCAGGAGGGGGAACAGTGTCAACGTAGGTGCCTGTGGAATTCCAGGAAGCCATCCCTGCGTCCATAGCTGCCTGCCACTGAGAGGAGTAGGGACCCTCTATCGCCTCCGCGTAAGAGCGCGGAGTCGGGATGTCAAGTGCATCCGGGTCTCCCTCAGGGGTAAGTAGTACGGACACGAGATGAGGTGAAGCAGCGGCCAAGCACTGGAACTCCTCCTGCCTGTCCTCAAGGACGTCCGTGCCAAGGGCACACTCACCCCAGACGGACGGAGGACAGACTCAGACTCAGCAACAAGACTGGCGGCGTAGTCTAGGCGACAGCGAGCAGCAAAGTCGACGAGCTCAGCAACTAGGGCAGACGCAGCAGTGGACTCAAAGGAAGGGTCAGTGACAACAGTAGCAAGGAGACGCGTGACAGTAGGACTGGCAGCACGAAGAGAGTGGGACTCCGGGTCGGCAAGATCAGGAAGAGAAGACTCAGGAGGAGAAGGCAAAGGGGCACGCAGAGGAGCAGTGGACGGACGCAAAGACATCCGGTGCGTGCCAGGGACAGGAGGAGGACGCTGACCCGAACCGCGACCACTAGTGCGATCAGCACGGACAGGCGACGCAGGGCGAGACGCAGGCTCACGACGCTCAGCAAGACCTCCAGTAGGACCAGTGTAGGGAGACGGAGCAGGCAGTGGGGAGGCCGGCTGTAACTGTAACTGCGACGGGACACGCTGTGGACACTCTAAGGGAGGAGGAGGACCAGTAGAAGACGGGAGACCAAGAACCTGCTGAAGGAGTGGAACGAAGTACGGCCGAGGCCGTGCGGCGACTCCAAACACAGCAAGGACAACACCAGCATCCCCAGTGGCAGCACCAGCACCAGTAGCAGCTCCAGCTCCAGTACCTCCAGCAGCACCAGTAGTACCCCCAGCAGGACCGCCTCCAGGACCGACAGCAGTAGCCTCCGCGCCAACACCCGCAGCAACTCCAGCTCCAGAAGTACCCGCACGTGCAGCAGCTCCAGTACTCCCAGTACGAGCACCTCCGGGACCCGTGGCACCAGCTCCCTCAGCAGCAACAGAACCTCCAGTACCCGCACCACCTCCAGCTCCAGCGGCTCGCCTCCAGTGCCGGGCAAACCACTCACGCAGCTCCTGTGGAGAGAGTGGCTCCCGGCGAGAAGAAGCACCCGGAGAACCGCGAGGAACAGCACCAGCAGGCCCAGCTCCCTTACGCTCCGCACCCCCAGGCTCAGCACCTCCAGGCGTAGCACCCCAAGGCTCAGCACCCCCAGGCTCAGCACCCCTAGGCTCAGCACCCCCAGGCTCAGCACCCCCACGCTCAGCACCCCCAGACTCAGCACCCCCAGTCGTGGTACCCTCAGGCTCAGCACCCCTAGGCGTAGCACCCACACACTCAGCACCCCCAGAGTCAGCACCCCCAGGCTCAGCACCCTCAGCAGCACCAGAGTCACCAGCGACCTCGACAGACTCAACAGCGTCTACCTGGGACACACCTGAAGGGGCAGGACCCTGAGGGGGGAGGGGGTCTACCGGGGGGGGACCTGGCACAAGGAAGAGCGGTGGCGGGGGGAGGGACGGAGTGCGGTAGGGGAAGAGACGATAGTAGGGGACCGACTCGTCGAGCGTGACGTCCTGGGAGGACAGAACACGGCGAGAGGTGGGGTGGTAGAACTGCCACCCTGGCGCGTCAGGGGGGAAACCCAGGAAGACGCAAGGAGCAGCACGAGGGGACAGCTTGTCCGCAGACAAGTCGCGGACAAACGCCCGAGATCCCCAGACACGGAACACAGACGCATCGCCAACCTTCCCTGTCCACAGCAAAGCTGGGGAGGTCTCCGGCATGGAGACCCTGGGTTGAAGGTTGATCTGATGCGCCGCGTACCGAACCGCAAACGGCCACAGAAAATGGGGGGCAGCCGCATGCATCATGGACGTACGGGCAACGTCCATGACTATGCCTATGCGGCGCTCAGCAATCCCATTTTGTTGTGGAGAGTCCGAAAGCGTGAAGGTCTGGCAGATGCCTCGTGCACGACAGTAGGTTGCAGAAGGCCAGAGGAGAACTCTCCGCCTCTCTCAGAGTGCAGACGCAGAACAAGAAAGTCCGAGCCGAAGCTCTGCCTGAGCTGGAGACGAGCTGCGCGGATCCAGTCGATCAACACCTCAGTGACATCACCCTTGCTGCGCAAGGGGAAGACTGCGGTGTAACGCGTGTAGTCTTCAACCACCAGCAGGAAGTAGTGCTCGTGACCCTGTCCACGGACGCGGGCTGGGCCCCACACGTCCATGTGAAGCGTCTGCAGCGGGGCCTCTGTCGGAGGAAACTGGGAGGAGTGAGGAGTAGCGCGCTGCCGCCCCTCGACACAGGGGACGCAGGTAGGGCCAGGCCCCGGAGGAAGGGGAGGGAGGGACAGGGGAAGACCAGAGACAAGGTCACGGGAGGCCATGCTTCGGAGACGAAGCAGGGAGGGGTGACCAAGGCGGTGGTGCCAGAGGAGAGTCTCGTGAGATAGGAGGCGACACAAGCAGGGGGCAGACTCAGGACCAGATCTGGACGCTGCAGCAAACACCTGACCCGACGCAGCTACCTGACCAGACGCAGGGACTGGAGGAGACGCAGTGGTCAGTGTGTACAGGCTCGACCCCGGCCGACGAGTAAACGTGGCCAGGTGTCGGCCTTTCCGAGCGTCCGTGCAGTAGGTCATCCGCTAACTCGCAGGAGTGAACTGGTGAACCCGCGCATCCTGTAGGTCAGCACCACTCACCAAGTTCGTAGAGAACGAGGGGAGGTAAAGACCAAATAGGGTGCCAGAGGGGGCCGCCGGACACGGGAGGAAAGTGGAGAAGTGAGCAAGGACAGGACCCCCAGAGGGGTCTGCCAGGGAGACTGCAACTGGCCGACCAAGCGGCGTGAGTGTGGTGCGGTCTCGAAAGAAGGAGCGAGAAGCCCCCGAGTCAAGTGTGAAGGTGTGGGAGGCCGAAGCCGACGCAGTACCTGAGAGCGCAGACTCACCAGTACCGGAGGAAGCATACGCACTAGCACCTAGAGCAGCAGCCTCGCTAGCACCAAGAGCAGCAGCCTTACCAGCACCTAGAGCAGCAGTTGCAATGCCCGGGTCGGGCGGGAA